TATATATATATATATATATATATATATATATATATATATATATATATATATATATATATGGCAGTTTTATTTCAACAGTATGATTTATTGAGAGCCTACTGCAGTTTTTTCTTCAGTGAATAAAAATAACAAACTGGGAAGAAAAACATCTACAATTTTAGAATGAACAAAATGTAAAATACTAGAAGAAAAGAGACTTTTTCCATTTCACATTTAATAAAAAGCTGAAAACCCGTCCGCTGCCGTTTTCTCTTGATTTCTTGTCTTTCTCTCCTGCAGCATGACTTTTTATCTGAGCGAGCTGATGAGCTGCACTCGCTCTCTGGTCCTGTTTGTCTCGGGATGGGTGTCTCGTCACGTGATCGGGGCCGTGTTGGTGTCCCTCCCTGCCATCTCTGTCCTGTCCCATATCAGTGTCCACCTTCCCCTCCAGGTAAACTTTTGCATTTAAAAGATGAATTAGAGTCAGGTTAAGAAATGCCTCTCGATTAGAGGTAAACCATCAGAATATCTTTACAGTATTTTATTGTAACAACAACAAAATTACCGTAATTTCCAGACTATAGAGCACACCCGAATGTAAGCCGCACACACACACACAAAAAAACAAAACAATCCAAAGTCCAGTTGTTTTTTGTCTTGAACTTTTTTGAATTTGTCATTGTAGCCACGTTAACCTGATACGGCATGCCTTACTGCTACTACTACTATGTTGCCATCTAAAGGCTGAAAATGGTACTGCTTTAAAAAAAAGTCAGTCAGAATTAATAAAAACAGTCATATCTCAGCCAAAAATTGGTTTATAAATATGGGGGAAAAATCCAAAAATACGTCGCTTTGGCCTATAAGTCGCAAGGCATGCAAATTATGCAAAAAAAATCTGTGACTTATATGCTGCAAAATACGGTAATTAAATACATACCAGTAACATGCACAAATACGTACAGTAAATGTTTTTTCTGAACAATACCTTTAACAAGGCTGGTTAAAAAATAACTAAATACAGTTGCCTACCAGGAAAAGTCACTGATCGCTATGTTCATCTTCCTCCTGTGCACTAAAACCATTAAAGTCGTCTTCTTCAGTGTCAAAATTGAACAGCCTCAGAAAAACTTCATCACACACATCAGTTTCTCTTTTGCTGTTGAAAAAATACAGTAGCCTGCCATGAAGTCGTTCATCGCTATCTATCTATCCTCCCCGTTCTCTCTTCCCCTCCCCGTTTCAATGGTTCGACTGTGACCTGTTTGGTCATTCCATTGGTCAGATTTTTTTAAACCTTTATTTAAATAGGTAGTTTCATTGCAACACAAGGATCCACCCTCCCAAGAGAGACATGTGTTGGGCAATGTATAGACTGGAATTTACAGTAAGTGTTATCTTGCAGTGTCAAAGATATGAAAAGGATAAAATGTGAAAAAGAGTAAAAACGGGTTAAAAAAAAAAACCACAAGATGAAAGGAACAGTCATACAGCACACTATTGCACATTAAGGAGTCATTGCACATGGTTAATGTCCACATGGTTTTTATACAATGCATATTGTTTTTGCGCATACTTTTGCTCTGCTTTGTGGCATTTAATGCCCTGAAAAGCCCTAAAAGCTCCACATGTAATACATTTTCCACATTTTTGATGTAGTGTTGAACGTTTATATAATTTCTTAGCTTCGTTTGAGGAGAGTAGCAACTGAAATGTTCAAAATTCCTTCTTTTCATAACTCTTCTGTTTGAGTTCAGGTTTTTTTTCCAGTCCCGAACAAGCTTGGTTCTTGCCATCCAGCTTTGAGCCAACAGCTGGTTGCAAGCTGTGTGGTGTTTTGATATCTTTTTTTTTTTTTAAAACCCAATTACTCCATCCATCTCTTTCCCTTTCTTCTCTGCCGTCCCTCAGCTCTCTCCATCTTTTTAAGGCTTTCAGATCAAAGTGAAATTCTCTGGGAGATTTGTCAATTAGACGAGCGATTTTCTCAACTTTAATGTCTTTGAAGTTATTAAGGTCCAATTCAGGGTTAAAGAAAAGACATGACAGACGAGTAGACGTGTGAAAATGAGTGGTAAATAGATGTAGTCTTTGTACGGTAATTATGAAAGGTCTTTAAATATTTACAAAAATATTTGTGCGAAGGAGGCACTTATTTTGTTGAACAAAATTTGACACAATATTTAGTTTAACCACAAAACTTTGGCTTTTCTCAAAGCACTCCTCATCAAAATGAAAGGAAATCATAATTATTGATAGTTTTTTAAATTTTATTTTAGATTGGGCGGAACAAAAAAAGATTTATAATCTTACCTTGTACTTGTGGCAATATAGTGTATGAAACAACAGCCTTGAACATGAGTCTGTAGTGAGCAGATGGCTATGAATACAGCAGCATGAGCAGCATGGATAATCAGCAGCACAGATAAGTCACATATCGCCAATTAAAGTGGCAATCACAGTGATTTTCATGGTTAGAGATTCATGAGTCTAACAGCTTCAGGGTAGAAGCTGTTCCTCAGTCTAGTGGTTCTAATGCTCCTTAACCTCCTGCCTGAAGGGAGCGAGGCAAAAAGTGTGTGTGCTGGGTGAGTGAGGTCCTTCATGATGCAGGTGGCCCTCTTCCTGCATTTGGAGGTGTAGATGTCTGTGATGGTGGGGAGGCTGACTCCAGTAGTCTTCTGTGCAGCCTTCACCACTCTCTGCAGAGATTTTCTTTCTGCAGCTGTGCAGCCTCTGTGCCACACGTTGATGCTAATTACAGTCTTGCACTTTTGCACATGGCTTCAGTAATTTGCATATTTGTAAAAGCATACGAGTAGCAACATTTGTTGCTACCGGTAATTAAACAACTTTTTTTTTTAATGCAACCTGTGTTATTAAAAGTTCTACAGCTCCAGGTCTTGTTTAGGTTCTAACTGGCCTTCTTAGAGTCCAGATCTGTCACTGAAAACATTTGGTGCACTGAGACCAAAAAAGGCCCAAAACCACAGAGTTTGTAATTCCTTATTAGAATAGAAATTGTAAAAATTTGCAAACTGCAGCATCTGATTAATTCAGTCCTTGAGAAGTCCCTAAACCTTTACCAAAATAAAGATTTAAACTGTATACCTCATTTCAACAACAACATAAAAAAAAAGTTCTCGGCATTTTAGGATGTCATATTTTGATGTTTTCACTATTAGCTCCAGAAATGACTAAACAGGCTTGAAAGGTTGCCACTCGGTTGAATGACATAGTCTGAACTATATAAACATTTAAATATTTAAACACATTTAAACACATCTGTTGCTACTCTCGATGTCTTTTAAAACTGTTTTTAAGATTAAATTTGGAGGAAAACCACAAAAATTTGGAAATATAAAGGCCACAGGCCACCTTAACTACAGCTGCAGAAAAACGTTTACTGATCTCCTTATTTATTTGATAACTAGAATAATGAGCTGCTGTTGTTTTTATTCCTCCAGGTGATCATGTTCTTGTGCTGTGCCACCATCCTGGCCATCATTCAGTATTGTAACTTCTGTCAGCTGAGTTTTTGGATGCGCTCTGTCTTTGCCACGGCCACAGGAGTCACTCTTCTGCTGCTGTTGTACGCTCCCGTACACAGGTACAGTTGTAAACTAGAGCATTTCCTGCGAAAATGCAGTGTGAATGCTTATTGCTGAAGAACTTGCTGAAAAACAGCTGAAATTAACTTTAAAAAAGTGTTGAAATGTACTTTGTAGCTGAAATAGAAGAACAAGCCCAATTTCAGAAAAGGAACAAAAATATCACATATTTGCCAAATTAGGCTGAAAGAAGGATAAATGAGCACGAGAAAGTAGAAATTATCTATAAAAAGCTGAAATTAGAAAAAAAAAAGAGCTAACAGTAGCTTACAAGGCAAACGAAGCTTAAATTACAAGAAAAAAGTTGAGAGAGCACATTTTTGCTGAATTAGGCTGAAAAAAGTTTAAATGAGTGCAAAAAATGTGGAATTTGCTGAAAAAGCTAAAATTAGCATAAAACAGCTAAATAGAAGCTGAAATAACTGAAACTAGCAGAAAAAATGCTGAAAGGAGCATAACAAGCTGAAATTAGCAGCGAGAAGTTAATTAGGCTGAAAGAAGCATGAATTACCACAAAAAACTCGAATTTATCTGAAAACTGCTGAACTTAGCTAAAGAAATGCTAAAAAGTTAGCTGAAAATGTAGAACAAGCTCGAATAAGCAGAAGATAGCAGAAAGATAACAAGTTTGCCCAATTAGGCTGAAAGAAGCAGAAATGAGCACAAAAAAGTGGCAATTACCGGTATCTGAAAATATCATAAATTGGCAAAATAAGATAGCTGAAAAGTAGCTAAAAAAGTAGAAAGAAGCTTAAATTAGTAGAAGGAAGTGGAGAGAGCACAATTTTGCCCAATTAAGCTGAAAGAAGCAGAAATGATCACCAAAAAGTGGAAATTATCTGAAAAATGCTGAAATAAGCACAAAACAGCTGAAATGTGGCCAAAATAGCAGAAATAAACTTAAAATAGCAGAAGGAAGTTGAGAGAGCACATTTTTGCTGAATTAGGATGAAAAAAGTTGAAATGTGTGCAAAAAATGTGGAATTAGCTGAAAATTCTAAAATTAGCATAAAAACAGCTAAAAATAGCTGAAATAGCAAAAAAGCTGAAACTTGTAGAAATTAGCTGAAAGGAGCATAACAAGTTGAAATTATCAGAAATAAATATAAGAAGCACAAACATGTTTTAGTTAGCAGAATGAATCTGAATGGAGCACAAAACAGCTGAAAGTAGCTGAAAATAGCTGAAGAAAGGTTTAAATTTGCACAAGGAAGCTGAAAGAAGCTGAACTGGAACTAATTTGAAAGGAGCAGTAAGAAATTATAAACAGATCTATAGATTTGAAGGATGTAAAATGAGCTCAGTTCATTTTCTAAGAGGAAAAAATGGCAGAAAAGACTAAATATTTTAAAAAGCTAATGTTGCACCAATACCAAAAGTCATAGCAGGATTGTCCTGAAAGAGCTGAACGGTTTGATTAACAGGATCACAATCTATCATTTCTACATTTGCACTCATTAAATGCCTGTTTGTTAACATTGTTTTTTATGTTTTCTTCTTTCATGAAATGTTGCTTGTGTTTCAAAGAAGTTCTAATAAGGTTATAAATTAATAAATTGTTTTTAAGCATGAAGGAATTTAACCAATTTGTTTAGAAATACACAAATCTACCTGTTGTAGATGAGGTAAAAAGATCTGTCCTCTTCTACACAGCACATTTGGCGTGTGTGTTGTATGAGGAAGTGTGCGACCCGTCTTTTCTCCTGACTGACATCGCTCTCATTTCTTTCAGCTCGAGCAGTAACAGCATGCCAGTTCATGGGTGAGTGTCTCCATAGAAACGGAGCGTTTTGATTGACGAGCGACATTTGAAGGGTCAACAGGAGCGTCAGTCAGCTCTATTTTATATTTCTCATACCTGCAGCACTGCGTGGCTTTTGTTCATTCTCTGGCTTTTCTGTTGTTTATTTTGCTGTCCGTCTTGCTCCGTGTGCACCAGCAGTAATGCTGCTAAATGCCACAAGTGGTGGAAATGACTCATCCAGCCTGTGCTGGCTGGAGTTTTGTGTTAAAGGCACAGCTAAGCTTTAATTAATTGCACAAATAAGGAGAAGGTTCTTCTCACAAAGTATAGGTCACTAGCTTTTATCAATATTCAGTTAATATATAACTGATACTAAATAACTATATGTGTGTGTGTGTTCCAGACACCCCCGCAATAGGTGACAATCCGAGAAATAAGGATGTTACATTTATTTTAGTATTCATATATATTTTAAGGGTTTAAAAACCCTTCCCACACTCTTGCAATGTTCTTAACAATGTTCTAAACTCCACGGGTGTCCAAAGTGTGGCCCGAGGGCCATTTGCGGCCCTTGCAGTGATTTTGTGCGGCCCACACCTTCTACCAGAAAGAAGACTTGTAGATAGTGATTCATAAAACTTGGCTAAATAAAATAATCAAGAGGGAAATTGGACATTTTTAAATGAATATAATGTGGTATCATCTATATACAAGTTGATTAACTTTATCAAACCTTCTATGAATCTGTTGCAGCAACCGACAGCTAGACCATTTTTCAGAACGTCAATCAGCCTTTTGGGCCGTCCATGGTCCAAAAGGCTGATCGACCCCCTTTTTAAAGGAAACTTAATATTAGGACATAGTGTACACATTAGGAATAGTGTACACATAAATATTAGGCTTTTGTTGCTGAGAACAGAATAAACTGAACTTTCCAAACACAAAAAAACCACCAAACATAGACTCAACAAATCAAATAAATCAAATCATTTTTAATAAAAAATATATATAAGCTTAGTGTTTATGAGGCTTTTAATGTTTTGGATCTATAACAATTTAAAACCCTTTCTCCACAAAAATGAGTAAACTTTTGTCCTTTCTCCAAAATATTGTTCACATTGAAAGTTCAATTCACATTTTTGTGGTCCACGACTCCTTGCATCTGGATAGTTTTGGCACACAAATTTAAATGTTTGGACACTCCTGCTCTAAATGCTCTAAAATAGCACAGTGAAAGAGAGCAGACAGACTGATGCTATACGGTTACTGAGCCAATCAGCGTCCGGGGGCAGACTGGCCATCAGGAGCACTGGCAAATGTCCCAGCTCAGTTCAGGTTAAAGCTTAATTCAGGTCATGCTTGATTATTTTAAATAATCAATCCATGCCACTCACTCTGGTTTCCGCCTCACTGAAGCTCCCACATCAGCGATGGGGGAAGTCAGACCCCCTGCCCCATCCTTTCTCTTTCTGAGGCTGTCAGCCTCAGAAAGAGAAAGGAGGGGGCCCTTGGTGATCATTGTGCGGTCAGGCCACTGGGAAACAATGTGTACTCTTATGTTTAAAACCTGAAACGATTATAAATTCACTTTTATATATATTTATATTAAAACGTTTGCGTCAAGAAGGGCATCCGGCGTAAAAAACCCAAACAAACTATCAAGTCTTCATGCGACTTAGTTCGCTGTGGCGACCCCTAAAATAGGGAGCAGCCGAAAGAAGAATAAAAAATTTTTTTAAAACATAATTTAATGTTTTTAAATATTCAGGTCATTTAAAACTAAAACATCCACATTTCCTTTACATTTAGTGTTTAATCAGTGAAGTATAGTGAGTGCTCCGTACCATGAACAAAAACTGTGTTGAACATATTGTAAGTGAATTGGTCACATCTCTTGCGACTTTGGCGCAGTCATTTTTTAACATTTTTTTCTCACTGTGTATTTATGTTTAAAAGCCTTTCTGTTTCTTATTTTTATATATTTCTAATTTAAAAAATAGCTGCAATAACGAAATATTTTAGAATTAATTTAAAAACGATGATTACCAAAGTGGGCAGCACGGTGGCGCAACTGGTCGAGCTGCTGCCTCTCAGTGAGCAGGTCCTTGGTTCAAACCCCGGTCCAGGGGCCTTTCTGGGTGGAGTTTGCATGTTCTCTCCGTGCATGCGTGGGTTTTCTCCGGGTACTCCGGTTTCCTCCCACAGACTAAGAACATGCATGTTAGGCTGATTGGTAACTCTAAATTGTCCCTAGGTGTGAGTGAGAGAGTGAATGGTTGTTTGTCTCGTTTGTCTCTATGTGTCCCTGTGATGGACTTGCGACCGTCCAGGGTGTACCCCGCCCCTCGCACAGTGATTGCTGGGCATGGGCACCGGCGACCCCCGTGGCCCAAAATGGAAGAAGCGGGTAAAGATAATGGATGGATGGATGGATTACCAAAGTTGGGATCTGGACCCGTCTTTGGGTCATTAAATATTAAATGGATGTCCTTAGATATCAACTTATATTTTAATTTTTGTACAAGGTATAACTTTACCATAATTCCATCCATCTGTTTTCTTTACTCGTTTCATTGTGTTGGATCACAGATAAGCTGGTGTCCCTCTCCAGTGGTCATTTGAAAGGTGGGGTACACCCTAGACCATGTCACCAGTCAATCAAAGAACATTATAAAAAATAAGATTAGTAGACGTTAATCAATTAAAATACTATGGAGGTTGTTAGGACAGTTTGTGTTATATGAGGGTAGACATAATAGGGTCATTAGAGAAGTTTGTAAAATAAGCATCAACTGAGAAAATGCATTTCCTGCGAAAAAGCAGTGTGAATGCTTATTGGAGAAGAACTTGCTGAAATTAGCTAAAATAACCTTCTGAAATGTAGCTGAAATGGAAGAACAAGCTTAATTTAGTAGAAGAAAGCAGAAAGAACACGTTTTCTGAATTAAGTTTAAATGAACAGAAGTGAGCTCAAAAATTTGGAATTAGCTAAAAAAAAGAGGCTGAAATTAGAAAAAAAAAAAAAAGCTGAAAAGTAGCTGAAAAGGCAGAAAGAAGTTTAAACTATCAGAAGGAAGCAGAAAGAGATAAAATGATGTAAAAAATATGAAACTACCTGAAAAAGCTAAAAACAACATCAAAAGAGCTAAATAGTAGCTGAAAATAAGAACAAGCTGAAAGGAAAATAACAAATTGAAATTAGCATAAAGAAGTTAATTACAGGTAGGCTGAAAGCTATAATGAACACAAAATAGTGGAAATTCTGAAAAAGCTGAAATTAGCAAAAACAGCTGAAAAGTAGCTAAAAAGGCAGAAAGAAGCTACCAGAAGGAAATGGAAAAAGCTGAATTGAGCTAAAAAAAATTGGAATTACCTGAAAAAGTTAAACACAACATCAAAAGAGCTAAATAGCAGCTGAAAGAGAAGAAGAAGCTGAAAGGAACATAAGTTGAAATTGGCATAAAGAAGTTAATTAGACTGAAAAAAGCAGGAATTAACACAAAATAGTGGAAATTAGCTGAAATAAGAAAAAAAAAACTGAAAAGCAGCTGAAAAGGCAGAAAGAAGTTCAAATTACCAGATGTAAGTGGAGAGAGCACGATTTTGCTGAATTAGGCTGGAAAAAGTTGAAAGGGTTGCAACAAATATGAAATTAGCTGAAAAAGCTAAAATTTGCATAAAAACAGCTAAATAGTAGCAAAAATAAAAAGCAGAAACTTGCAGAAACAATCTGAAAGCATCACAAAACAGCAGAAAAACAGCTGAAAGTAGCTGGAAAAAAGTTTAAATTTGCAAAAAGAATCTGAAAGAAACTGAATCAGAACAAAATGTGAAAGGAGCAGTAAAAGCTTGTAAACAAAGCTAAAGAGTTGAAGGATATAAAATGAGCTCAGTTCATTTTCTATGAGAAAAAAATGGTAGAAAAGGCTAAATATTTCAAACAGCTAAAGTTGCATCAACACCAGAAGTCATAGCATCTTTCTCCTGAAAGAGCTGAACAGTGTGATATATGATTTGTTAAAATAGCACAAACGTTGTGGAACAAAAAAGACGCCGAAAAATGTACGGAAGGGAAAAATGGATCACAACAGTGTGAATGCTTCATAAACATTCACGCAATAAATCAAGTCACTGTCGTTTTGTGACTTGTAAGCTAAATTGTTGTGAACCACAGATTTTAGAAACAGTTTGCATTTTAACTTGTTCTTCTGACATCAAATGCTGTTTTATTTAGAAGTTAGCACAACATGGTCAAACTCTTAATGTCTCTGTTTTGAATAAGAACCTTGATTGAAAATTTTCTCTCAATGGTAAAAATACTTTGTTTTTAATTGTCTGGGTAAAATCTGTGTTTTGTGGCTTATTCTTTCAGTAATCCTAAATGTATCTAATTCCTGTCATTTCCGTGTTTCCTTGTTTCCTTCAGGTGGAACATCTCAGCACCAACTGAAGACACTCCAGATCCAGGCCCAGGATTTTTTCCTCCACTCTTTAACGTTTTGGTCCCAGAGGCCGTCCTTGCCTTTTTCTTGCTTCTGCTCCTGGTCTGGTTCCTTAATCGTGAATTTGAGGTCAGCTACCGTCTCCATTATTACGGCAACGTGGAGGCCGACAAGCACCGCTCCAATATCCAGAACATGCGAGACCAGGCGGAATGGTTATTGGGCAACATCATCCCCATCCACGTTGCTGACCAGCTCAAGGTTTTTCCTTGTTGTTGAAGCAAATATACCTGATTTAATTCACCTGAAAAAACACCTAAAATATTTAAATATTTATCACGAGCTCATTGTAAAGTTCTCTTTTCTCTGTTCATCAGGAGACCCAGAGTTATTCCAAGAACCACAACAGCGTGGGTGTGATTTTTGCCAGCATCGCTAACTTCAGCGAGTTCTACGAAGAGAGCTACGAGGGGGGGAAAGAGTGCTATCGTGTCCTGAACGAGCTGATCGGAGACTTTGATGAACTTCTTCGCAAGCCTGAGTTCAGGAGTGTGGAAAAGATCAAAACGATCGGTTCCACCTACATGGCGGCGTCGGGTCTGAATGTCCAGCAGATGGCGGAGGAGGACGACGAGTCTCCGCACGCTCACCTGAGGGCGCTTTTCAGCTTTGCCCTCAACATGATGGGCGTCCTGGATGACTTCAACAAGAACATGCTGGGCTTTGGTTTCAAACTCCGCATTGGATTTAACCACGGGCCGCTGACAGCAGGGGTGATTGGCACGACTAAGTTGCTTTATGACATTTGGGGTGACACGGTCAACATCGCCAGTCGCATGGATTCAACTGGCGTGGAGTGTCGGGTGCAGGTGAGCGAGGAAAGCCATGCTGTGCTCAGTGCCATAGGGTTAGAGTTCGACTACAGAGGCACAGTCAATGTTAAAGGAAAAGGCCAAATGAGGACCTATCTCTACCCCAAAAGTGGGGGAAGCGCATGTCAGTATCGAACAGAGCTGGCAGCTGGAGCTGGACCCTTGCCTCTGCCATTACCTATCAGTAACACTTCAGTTTCTGCTGCTCAGGCGGCGGGTCTTCCTGCCTCACTTTCCAATCCTTCCGCTCCACCCCAAAGCACTGGGAGGCCTCCAGGAGCAGGGCCTGAGTCTGCCCCAGCTAAAGGTACAGGGGCGAGGGATGAAGGGTATAGGGACACCGCACACCAAACTGGGCAATCCTCTGACCCAGATCTTCATACCCACTCTGAGCCAGGCCCAGGAGTTACACAAGCCTCCCCCCTAGTGTACCCCACTTCTCTCGCACTTCAGGAGGAGGACGACGAAGAGGCTAGTGAGCTTACAAGACTCAATGAGGAGTTTTATGCTCGTCTCTGAGCCCTAATCTCCTCTTCCTATGTTTTCAACTCCGCTGCCTCTCCAGAACTGATTACAGATGTGAGCCGGAGAGCCCTTCTTTTAGGCGAAATGTCTTTGACATGGAAAAAGAAGAGGATTATTTCAACACAAAGCATGGCTTTGCTTTAAAACTGAGTGTTGCCTGAGCGCCGGGGTGGGTTAGACCTGTGTTGAGCACAGCAGTTTATCACAAGACAGGGTTATGAGGATAAAAAGGGACATTTTTTTAAGTTGGTGCATTTTCATATCATTGTTTTAATAAGTGCCTTCAGGACTAGAGCCGTGAACAAACGAATATGAATACTGAACAAGATTTAACCATCTGGACTACAGAACATGCTGTGGTTTCTTTTATTTAGAACTCAAATATTTCTTTATAAAGCATTATTGTTGTTCCTTAAATATCAATAAGGGGAAAAAAAGAGAATTTGTGAAAGTGCCAATGCAGTATGTGGGGTTGAAAAGGAAATTATGGAAAAAAGGGAATTACATGATGCAGTGTTGCGTATTCTGCTTTGATGCAACAGACATGATACGGCATTCAGTTATGCCAGAGATTCACTTTCAAGGGGAAATGCTAAGGTGAGCTGCACACATTTTAGTTTATGTAGCAGCTAAATGCACATTTTCAGCACAGCTCTTGCACAGTTTTTTTTTCCTCAACCACTTGTATTGAGTAGCTATTACTGCTTATCGACTTTTAAAGACAAGTTTTGTACATTTAAAAAACACAAAATCACAAGGGAATATACATTTGGAGGAAATGTCACTTAAAAAACAAAAGCAAACTCCATTATGAAAGGAAGAGGGCACTTTAAATGTACTTAAAGTAACCCAAAGATACGTTTTTGAGTATGCGACGCTCATCTCCTGTAGATCTGCAACGTGCACAACTTTACTCTGACCTATTGTAATATTATTATCCTTTCACAGGTGGAGGGAGTAAATTGTGTACCTGTACGGAGTTCTCCTCATGGTTTTTGTGCACTTATGGAAGAAACATGCAACTCCTTGGTGTTTGTTTTAGGGCAATAATAAGCTGCATCAGGCCATGAAACTATAAACATCACTGGATAATGGAATGCAATAATTAGTGATTTAGAACACAATAAAATGAATCAAAACTTCAGATTTCAAGTTCAATAATCATTATTATCCCCAAGGGGCAATTTGTTTCACAGTCAGTAGTCACACAAAACATCCATACTAGACATTAAGACATTAAAGTAACAGTACAGAAATCATCACTGTTCATTGAGAAGCCCGATCGCTACAGGAATGAATGACTTTTTCAGTCTGTTCGTCCAACATCTGGGCTGCAGATACCTGCGTCCAGATGGAAGCGACCTGAACTCACCATGGAGTGGGTGATCAGGATCTGCCAGAATAAGCTTGATCTTGCTCACTGACCTCGTATTTCCTCTTTAAAGGCTACAGTGAGGTGAGAGCTCGAAACTCAAAAGTATTTTGGGTCAAAACAACTTTTAAGTGGTAGTGTGAGGGACAGTCGTGCAGTTTTTGGCAGATGATCGGCTTCAGATCAACTACAGTTTCCACAACACTGTGTGTAAGAGCTAAAAACAATATGTGATGCTCTATTTGTCACCGTCGTTGCCTGAAAATGAAAGATAATTTCAAAAGTGTCAGTCAGTGCATTGTTGTTTTTTTTCTTCAGCAGCTCAGTGTCTGCCTTTAGCCGTTTGATTTGCTGTTGAAGGGTCGGGATGTTTCACACCCCTTTACTGTATCAGTATTGTGCCACTTTAATAGAGTGATCTGTAGGTGACGTGCAACCTAAACTAGTTGATTGTTTTGTGGTGCCTAAAAATATGAGTTTCTTTTATTTTTCCAGTATTTCAGTGTATTTTAATTTTTTGTCATGCTGTCATGATGGGGATAGATTATGATTGTACGTTTGAGAAAATTAGGCTCCTGCAATGTTTGATGCGATTTGTTAGGTGCGGAGTATTTTTCTTGGCTTATTTTTTCATTCTAACATTAAGGTGTCTGAAATGATAATGACAGTTTTCACATTAACTTTCCGCCTCTGTTTAATTTTTCCTTTTTGCTTCATGTTTCTCCTGAAAACACTTGCTTCTCCGTTGTGGTCTCTCCTCATGTCTATCGTATGTCTGTAAGAGTGTTGTGAATTTTACCTGCTCATTTACAAAAAAAAGAAAAGCGATGCAAAAGAAAAACAGTTCAACCGAGCCACTCATGATCGAGCTCTCATTTTCTTGCTGCTTCCTTATTCATACAAAAAAATGGCATTTATTTGAAATGGGAAAACAAAAAAGATTTGAAAATTCAAATTTGACGATTTGGCTTCTTTGCCACAGTTTTTTGGGAAAATGGCCAGCCGTTGGGTTTAAAGGGATAGTTCAGAACATCTGAAGTGGCCTTCTGTGTTAAGGTTAAGAGCAGTTAATATCTTACCTGTAGCAGATAGCTCTATGAATGGCCTCAGTTTAGTTAAGTATTTTCTGACAGGAGTGACAAGCTAAGGCCAAGTGAATTGCTACCATTAAAAAAAACGAAACTAAGCTTAAAAAAGTCTTCGTAGTTCTTACAAACTGTTTTGTAAATACATTACTGTAATTTTTACATTACACAATTATGGAAGTTAGATTGCAATACTCCTTGAACCTCTGCACCAGAAGTGTCACAGCTAGTTGTTTACTGCTGTCTGAGCTTGCAGTTAACCATAGAATCCCATGTAAATTCAATTCAAATTCAATTCAAAAATACTTTATTAATCCCGAAGGGAAATTATTTGTTGTTGTAACTCGTTATCCTCATTTCATTAAGAGATGTTGTAGATGCTGATGGCTGTAGACAGGAAGGATCTCTTGTAAAGGTCCATCCCACAGTGGATCCTAAGAAACTGGCTGCAGCTGTCGTCCAATCCATCCACCCAGACTCGGCTGGCCTCTCGGTTCCCCCGGGCTGTAGGAACGCCCGAATGCCGGGCAGAACTCCTCCCAGAGCAATGGCCACTCCTCCCAGCAGTCTGCCGAGCTCCTCGTCGCTGTAGGTGCCGAGGGACGATCCTGTCCTTCTGCTGTCATGAGCCATGTTTCGTGCTAGTTCCAGGATCTCAGTGGTCAGTGCGAAGACACTCGAGCACAGCTGGCAGGTAGATGAGAATGCGTCCACAGAACATCCTTTCAACTCATTAAGATTTGGGGCTGTAGCTGAGATATTATTTGATTTTTTGAGATGTTAATCAGCTGTTGGTTGTAGAAAACTGCCTTGTTGCCATGGTTATGCATCATAACAAATGTCCAAAGCTAAAAAAGTTTCAGTAAAAAATCCTTCCAGCTGCACAGCATCCGATACCAGAGGAAACAATCATCCAAAAAATGTGATTTACATCCAGAAAAACAGGAATTAAAAGTTTCCAAAAGCAAAATCTCAGAATGAAAGTAACAGAGCTGCTCCAACATGCAGCCACCTTGAGCGGCGCAATTCTAGAACAATAACGTGTCATGTGCAATTGACAGAGTTGCATTGGGGCCCAAAAAATCAGACCTGGCTCCAGCCCGTAGCCATCATTTCCGAACTCCACCCGACCAAATAACAGTAATTACAGGTCCGACCCCCCCCCCCCCCCCCCCCCGACATTCTTAATTAAGCTTTGACTGCTTATTTAGTTATTTAGTGGACGCGTGCAACTAAGGCAGAAGATCGGAGCTGAGGGGTTTTTTGTCCTTTCATGGCCATCAAAGCACATTAAATTCCTGCTTCTGCCTGCATTCTGCATTATTCAGACATGGACCCTGCTCTGACATGTCTGCAGGATATTTTGGGATCACACCTGTTCGGGTCGTCGGCCGCGCACGTTCGCTGACACAATCAAAAACCCGACACAGACCTGGCCCACACATTAAGCACATTATTATGGCCCAGACCGGCCCTAATCCAGGTCGGGCGAGGCTGGGCTCTGGGTTCAGGTTAAATGAAAGCTCTAATTGACAAATGGGATCAGATTTTTGAGGGTAGAGTTGTTTTAGATCGTCTAATTTGAGCGTGGGCTCTCTTTGGACTAAGATGTTGGCTCGTTGATACATTCAAATTTAATTCTAGTTTTTCAGACGAAGGTAGTTCAAAGAGCCATCTACAACAGATAAGATATTAATTGTTCATATCCTTTCCACAAAACCCCACTTCAAAAGATCTGAGCTTTATGAGTTCTTCATTGAGACAGTATGGCCGCATGCAAAGAAGAAGAGATGAAATGAATCATCTTTAACCTTCAGTCTCATATGTAGCATAAAAAACATCTGTTACTTTTGTTGTTGTACATCCAGAACATACAGAACCTGTGCCTTTTATTTAGAATAATTTTATTGACGTATGAGCTGTGATTATTATATCGACTAATGTAACCGTGCTACAGTAAAAAAAGGTGAAAACCCAAAGAATATTGCATCATCCTAGCTTGAGACAAAACAAATTGTGTGTGAGACCTGCTACGTTGGCCTATTTCATTACCTCTAAAATATCTTATTGTTGCAAAATTGACACAAAAAGGGAAAAAATAAAATGTATGCTTTGTCTTGCTGGCTGTTCCTGTGCAAGTTTTGGGCCATGTGGCTGAACGGCATAAAGAAATGGTGCATTTAAGGACTACGTTTGATTCCACAGATCGATGCGTGCACCACCTCTCCTCTCCAGTAGCACACATCTGTACACAGGCACAAATAAAATATTACAGAGAACGCTGCTGGTTCTGTGATCTGTGTTGAGCAAAGGTTTCCCATTTAATTATCAATGTTTTTTTCTTTGTTTTTTTTACAGACACCCGTTTCTTGTGCAAGTCCGCCTCATAGTCATCAGTCTTTTATTTCAGTGTCATTTCTGCTTTTGTTGAGCATAAACTTTGGACTTGCACTACATTCATGTTGCCACACTTCTTTAAGACTATCAGACATCGTCTTGATGGATAAAATGCAAATGACAAGATTTATTTAATTTTTAACAGAAGGGAAAAAGGTTGTGCTCGTGTCACAAATGCTAAAAAAAACAATCATAAAATAGTGTTTTTTGTGACAGAAATGTTAGAAAGATCCACAAACGGGGATTTTGTCATCACTTGTGGACATCACCAATTTAGATGGTGACATCTTTATACCTTCTTTGTTTCTTTTCAGTCCATATGTGTTACGGAATACACTGGGATAAAAGAAAGTGTCTGATTTTAAATGTATTTGCTTTATGTTGATGAGTGAAATGTATATTTTTGTGCACATTATCCATGTATCATTTATCAGCACATGATCATAATCTGTACACATTTGCACAAAGCACTCTGTACATATGCCGTTGTGTTGTCACATATAATTTGTTTTTATACATGGGCATGTCAGATTTTGTCAGAAAACGATGGGCAAGATTTTATCAGATGGACTTCATGTGTGTCCGCTTGCGTAAGTGTGAGTTATATTTTATTCCTCTTTTTTCCCAATATGAGAAAAATAAATCTCAAATCAGACAACTGCAGAGTGTAATCGTGTGTGTGGGTCTGTGTGTATATATATATATATATATATATATATATATATAGATATATATATATATCTATATATAATGGGTTCATTTTAAACACGATTTGTGTACATTGTGTCTCATTTGGTAATGAAAATCTATTGCTGTCTTTACAGTGGATCACAAATATTTATATCACAACAATATCAGTAAGAGGGGATCTCTTATCAGCTGCCAGATCAATAGATTTTGGACTTTATAAGTATCAATTAGTATTTATTAATTGAACCAAATAACAGTTTTAATTATAAAACATCTAATTTCTCATGTCAGCAATGAATATGTTGTCACCAACTGATATGAAAATAAATCTCGAGTTAAAAACAAGGAAATAGATTATGTGCAGTATATTATGGAGTCTTGCTTTTGAAGCAGTGGTTTTCAACTGCTCCAGCTTCAGGACCATCAGCCATTAATGACAAACCGTGACCCCAGTCATGAAATGTTTTCAATGTTTCAAATTTATTGAATGAAAATTTGGTGCTGTTTGAACCTAGTAGAATGAAATATGCTAACACACATAAGAAAACAAGTTTAATGGTAAATCAGAATGAGGATGCTAAAGAAGGAAACGTTCACTTTTTGCAAAATTGACTGCATTTTAATTAAACTGAAACTCAAAACTTGGACATTTTCAACTTTTAGTTATTAGATTCAACAGTGCATTCATGCATGAAATGAAAAAAAGGACACCTACTGAGAAGTTTTTAAAAGACTCAATATCTAGCTTTTTCTCAGTACCCACTTTTTGTATATTTAACAGTGTTCTAAAATATTTAGTCACTTATTCAAACATACCTATAAGGCTGGCAAAAAAAAAAAAATGGTAATACGTTGAAATTATTATTTTTCTTAACTTTTAGTTGCGCGGGTAAAGCAACCCACTGAATTTGGTTTGAGGACCCACTTTTTGGTCTTGACCCATCAGTTGACAATCATTGCTTTAAAGCAGGGCTATTCAACTAAACTGCTCAGGGGGGCACAGTTTCAGAAAGCCAACATTTCGGACATCCAGCAAATTAAGTCATTATGTAAATAAACCAAGTATTACAATGATCTGCTACCTTATACATTTGTTTTATTGCATTGAATCATAAATGCAATAAACAGAACCCAAACCCACCCCCCCAAAAAAGTTTATTTTTTTATTTTTATGAACTTATGTTGGTCCGGACTGAAGTCATACGTGGGCCGGAAGTAGCCCGCGGGCCGCCCTTTGAATATCCCTGCTTTAACATGTAATACCTGTACTTGATTTAATAACAAACTGATGTAAAAAAAATTATCTTGCTAGTGTATGTAAATATTTCAAATATTTATCGTCGTATTTTTGCATTATTGTGTACTTTGTGCAGAGTGGCTGTAAAAATAAATAAAAAAATAAAATAAACTATTTTAAATTGGTGTGCGTCTGGTGGTGCGTGAGCGCCCCCAGCGGCTAAAAGGGGAAGTGTTTTTACGCAGGGCGTGATAGTGCGGCCCCTCCCCCTCCACCGTCGATCTGGAAAAGAAAAAAAAAACTTTTTTGTATCGAAGGAATCAACAGCCGCCATCTTGTCGTGGCTCGGAATTGGGATTTCGGTCCGACACTGGGTTTTACGTAGAAATATAGCGCCCTTGCTGGGATATGACAGCGTCCTTCTGTCAAAAACGGAATCTTAACGTCGCCTCGGAGACATTTTGTGCGAAAAAACCGTAATTGGATCGGTGGTCGTCGGGCAGAATAGCTCCGTACATCTGATTTCCCCTTCAGAGTGCGGCGATTTTCAGCCCCCTGTCGCCGCTCGGGAGCAGTATTGTTTACCGTGGGCAAGCGGGGAACCGATCGTGACATTCGAGGTGATTTGCAAAAATACGGCATTTTTGTGCAATTGTGCATTTTTCTGGCGCTTCGCGCGATTTTTTGCATGAAGAAATTTGACGTCACGTAGAATGGGTACTCTGAGCATTTAGAATTTACGACTTTTCTCCCGGAATGCTGCAATTCACCTGATTTGACTGGATTGACATCTTTTCGCTCAATATTTTACATGGGGACCCTTTTAGTTTGGGTTATTTAATGATGATAATGTGGGTGTTGGGTGTTGGATTATCATGGGGTGAATGGCGGTGGCGAAGCGGGGCGCTATTGCATCTTTTTTGAAAAACTGACTTAACAGCAAGGAGTTGCTAACAGTTAACAGGGCTGGTAGCAGGCAATTAGCCAGTTAGCTAACGTTAGCAGGCTGCCAACTTGCTAATGTGCTAACCGGGGAGTTTTGTGTTATTACAACAAAATCCCGCTCGTAAGGTAGTTCAATCTTACTACTTAAGTAACTAGTCCGATTAAAAAATATCCAACAATGGCTGAAAACCTGCTGGACGTCGGACCTCCCAGTTCCAAGCGGCCGAAGCTGAATTCACCTGCCCTATCAGCGTCTGATGGACAAGGTAAAGGCCTCAGCACCCACTCTGCATTAAAAAAAACATGAACATTTAAACCTTACAGGACCAGCTTTGGGTTGGTTATTATTAATCATTTTACCAACCATGCAGCACAATTTCAGGTTTTCCAGGTGAGTTTGATAAGCTGCTGGTTGTACACTATTTGCTTTGGTTTTCCTCTACGGTTGTGGTCTGGTTGTAACAGCACCTCACTATTAAGGCCAATGTTAGTTAGCTGCTTTATGTTGACGCTCTCTTATGGAGGAATGTGACCCATTCAATGTCCACAACCTATAGCACAATTATACAGTATGTTTTCAGTAGATACTGCACAGTTTAAGCCATTACAAACAAACAAAATTTTTTGTTGTTGCATTATTTACATTATTAAAGTTAGATTTTAGTATTTAAGTTGAATTGGCCTTGTTTGAATCTATGCATTTTATTCACACTTGTTGTTGTAAATCATATGTGTCAAATTCAAGGCCCAGGGGCCAAATGTTGCCCTCACTGACAACTTATCTGGCCCCCCAAGATGATATTTTAAACATAAAATACTTTTATCACTTTAATTGTTTTCAGTAATCTTTGATTATGATGTCAAAAGTGCAACAGAGAACGTCAAATGAGACCAATCAAACTCTTGTTGAGGAACCTGCGATCAAGAAACGATGTTGGGTATCTAACTTGAGTTAATGTAGATTCTAAAACAGGCCCTTAGTTTGAAAAAGGTTTTAATTTTGGCTCCACTTTGTAAGTGGGTTTGACACCCCTAATTGTTTATTAATGGTGCTCAGTGCAGCCACCAACCTTAAAATCATGAATACCATCTCATCTACTTTGCCACAGTTATCTATTCAGTTTCAAAGAAAATCCTAGTTTTTTTCCCCTTTGAATCAAGATACCAGCCAGTAATTTTCCTTTAACTAGATTAAAGCAAATAAAGTATTCCACACATTTTTACTAGATGATTGCATTTTCTAAGTTGTTTGTGGTTGTAATTTAGTCAAAGTAGTTTTCTAACTGCAACCAAACCTTGCCAGGGGGAGGGATGATAAAACTAACATAAGAAAAATGTAGAGCTGCTGTTCAGGAATTGCTTTCATCTCTTAGACTATCTGGGATATTATATCATCCCTGGGAAAACTCTAGTCGGTCAAAAGTGTGCTGGCTTGACTCCGTAGCTTCTGGTCAGGCACAGTTGTTTCCATCCCCCAATGTGCATCTTTGAAATGGTAGTAAATCACCTAAAACAAGCAACATTGGGTTTGTTTTCACATTAGTGAAAGTGTTTGAATTTGAAGGGTTAATGTACTGGTTAGGGGTTATCAGCCCTGATTTCCTTAATTTTGGGAAGTTGGAAATGGGCCGATAATTGCATGAGAAACCAATTTTACAGATTTTTTTTGTTGTTTTAACCACTGCAGCCAGATCTACTCTTGAACTGCCACAGAAAATCACACGTATGTTTCCTAAATAGTTTAGTTAATTAATTAAGAGTTGTTTTTGCTTTGTAACACCACAGTGGTTGTAGGTTGAAAATCACTTAATTGCCTTGAAAAATAATATTACAGATCTAAGTAGGGATGGGGCTGATCCGGTATCGGCCTACGATACTAGCATAATGTACGTATCGGATTTTTCCGATCCAACCTGCAGAGATTTCCGATCCATTATTCATGTTGGCTTCACACTATGAAATGGATTTCCTGAACGGAGGCGTGTTTCATTAACCCAGAGTAATAAGACCCACCTCACATTCAGGAAATCCATTTCATAGTTTTCAGTCAGCTAACAACACTGTGGCTAACAGCTAACCAACTTTTCATTGAAACATGTCCGCTGTGTGGAAGTATTTTACACTAAACATCGCAAGACAGCAACGTGCAATGTCTGCAGAGCCATAGCACCACATTAAACTGCGGTAAAGGTAGTTTTACGCTGGACTTTCAAGCTCCGTGGCTTCAGCGGGTCGCTACTCTTGCTCAACCCAAAACAGGCAACTCGACCTCGGCCAGCCGCGTCCAATTTGCCCATCTCTGAGGAGGGGCAGACTGAGCGAGCTGACCGAAGTCAGGCTGCCTGCTGCAGATTGAACAAGAAGAAGACACCGCTGAAGCCCCGGAGCTCGAATGTTTACAGAGAAGTTGCTAAACTTCATCGTAATTAATGACCAACCGCTATCAGCTGTAGAAAACGAAGGATTTCACAGCTTGATACTTGCAGCCAAGATATAGTTTACCCTCCAGGAGATATTTATCTGTACAACAATAGACAATCATAAAAAGCATATGAATTGAAAATTACAAGAAAATTATATATATTAAAAAGAGAAATAAAAACAGCTACATTATAAAGCGATGTAAAATACTAAAAGCAGAAACAAGTCTGTTGGTTTATGCCATGAACTAGCATATGTTTAAAGCCATTTAGTATTTTATTTTAATTTATTCATTCATTTAAAAGAAACAAATAAACAACAAATTCATCAAAAAGAAAATATTGAATGAAAAGAGTGCAGAAAGAAGAAAAAAAATTCTTATCTACCCCTTATTTTAAAAAACATATATAAAATAACTTTAAACAATCGCTTAAATTCATCACTTTAATGTCCACTTTAAAGCTAGGAATAAAAAAAACATGTTTTGTGTTAGCAGAATTTAATTCTAACTAATAATTTAATTCTAATAAAAAAGGTGGATCTGTGCATCCCTAGATCTAAGCTCATACCAGATATATTGGGGTTAACTTGTATTGTACTGGTAAACAGTAAACAAATTGTTGTTCTAAAGCTAAAGTCTGCTGAACGTCTCTAATGATGTGTGTTTCAAAGTCTGAATTGACATCGTGAGCAACTACGTATTGTAAGTTATTAAAATGTATTAATGTTTTTGTTATGCATTACTCTCCTTTACTGTTTCGACATCTACCTATAAAATTTTAAAACCAAGTTACCAGGTTGTACAAACCTCATTTTATCCACTGTTACACTTGATTCACATGTTCATACTCCCCAGTGACGGTATTTAAAATATATATATCAGTTATGAACCTAAAGTTATTTTTTAACACCAAGTTGCATGGAACAAATTTCTACATTTTCCTAAAAAAAAAAAATCTTGTTCCATTATTATAACATAACGGTAGCCCTCACCCCGATAGTCGCTTTGAAAAACTGGTCATGACCCACATCAAAACAACCATCAACATCGAGGACTCTCACCAGTACGCATACCGTGAGAACCGATCAACAGAGGACGCCATCTCCTCTGTGGTCCACATTGCTCTCACCCACCTGGAGCAGAAGGACTCCTACATCCATATGCTCTTTGTGGACTTCACGTCTGCCTTCAACACCATGATCCCCCAAACCTTGATGAACAAACTATTCTCACTAGGACTAAGCCCCTCCATTTGCAACTGGGTCCTAGACTTCTTAACAAACAGACCACAACTTCTTCATCATAACCCTCAGTACTGGCTCCCCTCAGGGATGTGTGCTGAGCCCTAGCCCCCTCCTGTTCACTCTACTCACGTATGATTATGCAGCTTCCCATCCAGGCTGTCATATTGTAAAGTTTGCAGATGATACAGCAGTGGTGGGATGCACAAACAATGATGAGTCCAGCTACAGGCAGGAGGTGGAACACCTGGAGAGCTGGTGCAAAGGGAATAACCTTCACATCAATGTGAAGAAGACGAAGGAGATGGTCGTGGACTTCAGAAGGAACAAACCCACCTAACACCCCCCTCGAACATAAGAGGATCTGTGGTAGAAGTGGTCTCCAGCTAGAAGTATTTGGGTGTGCACCTGAATGACAACCTCAGCTGGGGCAACAACACCACCAGCCTGATCAAGAAAGCTCATCAGAGACTCTACTTCCTCAGGCGGCTGAGACGAGCTGGTCTGGGAAGCTCTGTCCACACCTCCTTCTACAGGTGTGCAGTGGAGAGCATCCTGTGCTCCAGCATCAGCGTGTGGCATGGAGGCTGCACAGCTGCAGAAAGAAAAGCTTTGCAGAGAGTAGTGAAGGCTGCACAGAAGTCTGTCGGAGTCAGCCTCCCCACCATCACAGACATCTACACCTCTAGATGCAGGAAGAGAGCCACTTGCTTCATGAAGGACTCCACTCACCCAGCACACACACTTTTTTCTCGCTCCCCTCAGGAAGGAGGTTAAGGAGCATTAAGTGTAGAACCACTAGACTGAGGAACAGCTTCTACCTGAGGCTGTTAGACTCATGAATATGTAACCAGAATAATCACTGTGAAAAATCATGTCACTGCTGATCTGTTTCATGTTGCTGTGTTCATGCGTGCTCATCTGCTCACACAGACTCATGTTCGTGCTGCTGTTCAGCATATTGTTTGTTTTTATGCTATTAGTGCTTAGCATATTTTTAGCTGTTTTTCTTAGTTCATAATCTTAGTTCATATCAGAACTTATTACTGTTTTTCTTTTACATTTTATTGTTGGATGTAACTGGAACCCTGTGTACATAATTTTGTTGACAATAAAGAATATCTGTGTACCTAAGAAACATTACACTAAATAATTTATTTTTCTAACCTAATATGTTTGGATTTTTTTTTTTTCATTCAAGTATTTTAATTCATTTATCTGCAACATGACATTAAACTATCTGTAACATGTAACCATTTGAAAACCTCTTAAGTAATGCGCTTATACAATACTGTTTCGGCTGATTCAAGTAGTGATGTAGGGTGATTTTCAAATATTCAGTTTTTATTAAATTGACAAAATAAAAAAAAGAAAGTATTGCACACGTCAAAGCTTTTTGCGTTATTTTTTGCACCTAGTTGTGACCTATTAAATTGTTTTTAAACCACCTGGATGCTTTTCCCAAATGAGGTGCTTTTATGACACACCCAATAAGCCTACAAATTTTACACTGTTTTCATCCATGTGATTGAATTGGCTGTCTGGTTTGTTTTCAACCTTTTTAATGACAGCATCTTGTGCTTGTTTTCCACTGGGACCACATTGTGTTTGCACATCTGCGAACTGACTTTTTCTTCGACTTCTCCGTTTTCCTTTCTTACATCAAAATTTCAGTTATTAGTGGACTTTCTCTTGTATAGATTGGAGAAATGCAAATTGATAAATGAAATTTGTTTTATGACGTGTCGTCTTCAACTGTATTGGCAGCTGTAGTAACAGCCCGTGTATCTAATCCCATTCATGTCTTATAGCATTGCTGTCTTGTTGGGGCATTAAAACATAATTGGCAGCAACCATAATATTGATTCCAAAATAGATAAAAGTTTACAGCCTTTTTAACATCTGAATCAAGTTTGATTTATGAAGGTATTAAATGTTACCAGATGGTACTGCTTCAACATGGAAAAAAAAACCTCACAAAATTATGTTGTTAAACTCGGTGTCATACTCATTTTATTTTTCTGATGAAAGGCATTGCTTGTTTATAGTGATTATGGTATGTATTTAGAATTTACCACTAGCTTAATCATTGAATAATGCTGCCAGTAATAACATTACCGTGCAGTGATATATATTAGCAGAATAATTTGAGAGCCCCTCCTAATGTAAACACTGAATCAAAACAAAATCTTGTGCTGGAGGTAGGACTGTTGATATGCCTCTAGATTGGCAATGGAGGTGGTCACAAAGTAAAATCGATGTGTATGTGTTAAATGGGAAATGCTACAAAGTTACAAATGGACTTTTTGTAATCAACCTGATTTTTCTATATAGGTTTGTTATCAATCAGAGAGTAATTTGCCTGTATGTATTACCACGTTTGTGCTGCTCGACTTGGGATTTTATTGCACTGATGCGCTCATCTCATCTGGGTTTTTGTCATCTGGAGTGCGTGTGAGAGGAGCGTAGCGTTACGATAGTGGCTCCAGTTGTCAACGTGATGGTGGGGAGATAAAGTGCAGTGCTATGTGTTGTCATCATCGTATGTTCCCATACAAAGATGAAATTGTCTTTCTGCATTTAACCCAGCGAAGCACTACGTTTGTATTGCGTGCTGTTTAGAGTATGAGCTGAGCTGCTAATTTCTGCTCCCTGTCCGGAAGTGGCAGAACAGAGTGGAGGGTGGGGGATTTGGTAGACTGGGCACCCTCCTTGGTTAATGGTAGGGTAAACACTGCATCATGCTAGCTCCAGTGTTTCTGCCTGGATTACTTTCCTTGGGAGGGCGCTTGTCTCGTCTTATGGTACTAATGCTAGGTCTGAGCTGAGCTGCTACAATCTCTGCTCTCTGGCCAGAAGCGGGGTGCTCTGTTCTGTTGACGGGTGGAGCACCCTTCTTGGATAATTGTAGGGGAACACTTAAGCCCCCGGTATACTCCCGCATACGTCCGTATGCAGAGGTACGCACGTACCTCCGCAGGGCATGTCTGCGGAGGTACGTGTATGTCAAAGCTCAATTTTTGCGAACACTTACACGGTGTCGCACAATAAACTGCCCGGCGACGGACTGTTTTGTATGCGACACCAATGTATTAAATTCCCCTTCTTCATCCCTGATCTGGCCTTTTCTTTTGTTTGTTTTTGCCAAGTGGCAAGCGATCTCTTGCTCCTCTGTTAATGTCATGACTGAAATTGTGAGAAATGAAGGAATTTGTCACAAGCGAATTAAACTCAGGTCCAGCATGGCTGCAGGAGTGTCTGGAGATTTCCTGTTGGGCTGATCTGATGTTTGGGCTGCAGGGCCAGCGCTCCCAGTTTGTTTGTTTTTTAGAACTTATTATTAACAACATAGAAACACAGAATGCGGCTGAGGCTTCCAGCTCTTGTTTTTTTTTTGTTTTTTGTTTTTTTTTACTGTCAGTAGGCGTGTCAGCAAATGCATCACTCATCACTGACTGACCTAATGCAAAGTTGATTTTTATGCAAAAATGCAAGTTTCAGATTGCGACTCATTACTAGCAGATACTTCTTAAATGACTAATCTGCTTTAGACAAAATATATATTTTTAAGATCACTGAATCGAATGATGATTGTTGAGACTCTGGGTTAGTGCCATAAGTTCATCCATGTAGCTACTGGTTAAGTAAGATGAACTGAGAAGACTAAGGGAATGAAAGATGGAAGGTCCCTTGAGCCTAAAACAAACTCCCTTCACATGGAGCACCTACACGCTTGATGCTGGGCAACAGACAGCAAGCTAGCACAGCAGATGTAAGCAGCAAAGCTGTGTTTACTCAGGGAAATGTGTAGGCCTGATGACCTGATTAAAAATAATGCCGGCTGAATCTTAATGAAGACATCCAGCAGTAGCAGTAGATGACTGAAATGCTCAAACATGTTATCTCGTTTACTATGATGACTAGTACCATATTGTTTACTGCGACCTGGGATTTTTTTTTTCCTAATTGTTAATTTAGCAGGCACTTTTAATCATAGCAACATTCTTTTTGATAGAGAATAACATAGCCTAAAGTGATCTTAGAACGGAACTTTGAGCAAATATAATTGTAAAAAAAAGTGCTCACTATGTGAAAGTCCAGTTTAGTAATAAAGGAATTTAATAACATATTTTATCACTAAAATAAATCATAAAATACATTACAGCATTGATCAACATAACAAATGTTACCTTGTATTGTATCTACATGCATCGCAAATTACAACTTAATTGTAGCAAGTAAACTACAATATCTTTAAATGCATTTGTGAACATGCTTGCCAATTATAGGTCTCACACAGTAAGCTGCACACAAATTTCTCAACTGTTTAGGTAGCAGTTGGAGGGTAAATGGAAAACCTCAATCCGTATATTACTGAGTAGTGAAATGAGCTGCAAATATAAATCTGTAGAACATTGTTTTTAGTAGCTTCTAACATCTCTTTTGCTTCCCCTAATTGCATTTTTGTGAAGTAGGGTTAAAGATTAAACCAAAAACAACCACTGGTAGTAAAGTTGGAAATAGAGCAATAAATGAAGTACTGTATACTAGGACACCTCCCAAATTGGTCATTGATCCCATCAGTTGGGCAAGCGACAAAAGAAGGGATTTCTTGTTTATGCACAGCAATAATGGAACCACCGGTACTTGCTTTTTTACTTTGTCCTAATCATTTTATCTCAACCAAGTAATGCCTCACTAGGCTCTCAGCATGATGCTCACACCTCAGGGTGGTGTGACAGAAATATGCCTCCACCACACAACAGGAATCCTGTGCTGCAAAAATTTCTGTGTTGCCTGTCAGATAGAGGTGATGCTCTTGTTTTTGGCTCCATGGTCTTTTCTATGACGAGACTGTGCTACACCATGGCACCTTTTTTGTTGTTGTCAAAAATCATAGTTCTAAGCCTTCTTCTGAGGTCCTTAGAAATCTCTCTTGTTCATGCCATGATGTACTTCCACTTCCACAGACTTGGATAGATCCTTGTTCTTTAAATCAAACGGTGTCCACCCACCTGATAGTCATCCCATTGATTGAAAACTCCTGACTCTTAAGTTCACCTTAAAATTAACTGCTAATCCTAGAGGTTCACACTCACAAATACGTTATATTGGATCCATCCATCCATTATCTTTACCCACTTCTTCCTTTTCGGGTCACGGGGGTCACTGGTGCCCATGTCCAGCTATCACCATGCGAGAGGCGGGGGACACCCTGGACAGGTCTCCAGTTCATCACATGGACACATAAATACAAATGAGACAAACAACCATTCACTCTCACCTAGGGACAATTTAAAGTTGCTAATCAGTCTAACATGCATGTTTTTGGTCTGTGGGAGGAAACTGGAGTACCTGGAGAAAACCCACGCATGCACGGAGAGAACATGCAAACTCCACCCATAAAGGCCCCGGACCGGGATTTGAACCGAGGCAACCTGCTTGCTGAGAGGCAGCAGCTCTACCAACTGTGCCACTACGCTGCCCTAATATTGGATAATTTTCCTCAATAAGTAAATGACCAAGTATAATTTCCTACAGGATCAATAAAGTTCTATTTTATAATATTTTGGTCTAATTTGTTTTACGAGGTTCTTTTTATCTACTCTTAGGACATATTTATGCCGAAATATAGGAAATTCTAAAGTGTTCATAAACTTTGAAACACCACAATTTTGACCTCAGGTATTAGTAACTGAGTTTTCTAACCCACACTGAAACCTATATAAACAAATATGGACTAATTAGATGAAACGGGGTAATGTTTTACTTCTTGCTGTTAAACATTGTTGATATTAATATCATTTTAAGTTCGCTCAAAATTTAATTATGTATGTTTCTTTCTGTTCCCTCAAACTTGTCATAGATCTGGGTTCTCTGACCTGGGATGATTTGGAGAATGACCTTCCAGATGAGTTGATCCCTAATGGAGGTGATATGAGCCTGATTGGTGGTGGGATTCCTTCAAACGGTGGAGCAGCACCTGGAGGTGGTGGTCCAGGTGGCACCCCAGCAGGACTTGGAGCGTCTGTTGTCCAAGATGCAGCTGCCAAGCATAAGCAGCTCTCAGAGCTTCTTCGGCCCTCTGGTACTGGGCTCAGTTCATCAAGTCCTCAACCTGGTAGTATAGGATCGCAGCTGGGAACTCCATTGGGCAAAAGCCCCCTTGGTCAGGCCTCTCCAAACAGCCACTCATCCCCCCAAGCCCAAAAACCAGGAACACCGACTGGAATAGCAGCACAGAACAGTAATAACTCTGCTGCTATGGGTCTGAGCTCAACAGGATTCAACCAGGCTATGATTAACAATAGCCAGGGTCATGCTGGACTACTAGCTCAGGGTGGGCAACCTCAACCTGGGCAGGTGATGAATGGTGGTCTTGTATCTGGAACTGGAAGGGGACGGGGTAATGGGGTGGCAGGTATGCAGTATCAAGGATCGACTATTCAGGGAACTGCACCAGGATCAGGAGGATCTGGAAGTGGATTGTTAGAGACACTTACCCCAGGAGGACAGCAGATGGGAACTCATGCCACCCTCAGCGCAGCCCAGCAAGCAGGCAATATGAGCAAGGTGAGTCATACTCCTACTCCCAAATAATAATGTTAGCATGTGCATGTCTTGAGTTGACAAGATATTCAGCCACACATGTCTTTGGCAATAATTTGTTATTGAATTTAATAGTCATTCATATTATTTTTGTAACATGCTGTGGGTGGAAACTTGTAATACTGGGCACAATTTAATGTGATTCGGTTAAAAACTCTGGATTTTGGCAGTCAAAACTTTAATCAGCTTGTTGACTGTTTTTTTTTCATCTATGCACAGTGAGGCATTTTCTTCCAATGGTCTCTAAAATGGATCTTGACCATCAGCGTTCAACCAAATTTTACGGTTTTCAGAAAAATTCTCAACTCAGTTTGATGCATACTCTGTCCTGGGTGACAGTCTGAGAGTTGCTGCAATACAAGGAAAAGTCTCATGTTTGTAGTTGACTGTTTTCTATCACCATGTTTTGCTTGCCGTAACACACTGAAACACCCATTGATCCAGTTCACTATATATATATATATATAGATAATTATACGCACATAAGATCAGACGTAGTAAGAT